AGGGAGCCCAGAGTCTCCCTCACATTCCCTTAGGGATCAGTCAGGGTGGGGAGGGAACCCTGGGGTCTGGTTCCTGACTATCAACGCTTTCATGTTAGGGAACAGACCCAAGGCCTGGGGCTGAAAATCCTCTCTCTCTGCTATGTCGGATAGGACAGGGCGTCCTTTCCTGATCATAGGCGGGAACAGCTCTGGCCCAGAGTTTCTAGGGTGGGCCTCACTGGCTCTCACTACCTGTAAGGTGCTCTACCCTTTGCTGAAATGCCCAAAATAGGCTCTGGGTAACAAATTTTGGGGGAGGGGCACCAAGGCTGGGCGAAACTGGCTTAATATTTTAAAAGGGCGAAGATGGATAATTCGGCTAGAAAGGGGAAAGTGGGGAGCAGAAGAGTCTGGGGTCAGGAAATAAAGAGAATTCGGGGCCTTGTTGAATTAATTTTATGTTCTTTCAACAGGTAATGGAATGCAGCAGAGTTAAGGTGATAAGGTGGCTTATCCAACGTGTCAATCCCGGGTGTCCAGGGCTCTTCCGGCTGCCCCCACGCAGCTGGAATTAGTAGGGAAGACCAAGGCTGGAGAGGCATGGCATGAAGGGACGCCAAATTAAAGGGGTGAGCCTGGGGCTGGGGTCCGCAGAAGCGGGGAGGAGCCCGCAGAATATCTGGGCGCAGTTTCCTATCCAAGTTCCGCCCCAAGCGCGCACCGGGCCAGCCCCGCCCCCCGACATTCCCATTCTAATCCCCCTCCCCGCCGCTCACCCCCGGGCTGGGCCTGGCATTCGCCCCGGGTTCCCCGGGTCCCCTGGGTCCCCCAGTTCCCGTCTTCCACCGACGCAGTTTCCTTGCAGCCACAGCCTGGGTGAGTGTAAGGATGGGTGTGCTGAACTGCCGAGCAGCCCCGCTTGGGGGAGCTCGGCCACGCGATCCAGCCTCCACAGGGCCGGGTCCCTAACTCGGGGGTTCTTGGTGCCTGCCCGTGAACTATTGCTGCCCCGACTTGCTAAGTTGACTCCTTTTCCCTCCGCTCTCGTGCATGGGGCTGGATGTGCAGGGTTTGAGCTCTCGCTTCTTCACAGGGACTCCTGGTTCGAATTTTCCCTTAGGTGTCCCAGAATGGAGGTGGAGGGCGGGGCTTGGAACTCCATAGTTTCAAATCCCAGCTCTGCCAGTTAGTAGCAAGTGACCCTGAGCAAGTGTTTAACTTCCCTGAGCCTCCGTTTCCTATTCTATAAAATGGAAATATACAGACTGTAGATCTTACCTCATAGAATTATAGTGAGGATTAAAAGAAACAATGTATATGTAGTGCTTAGTAGGGTGCCTAGATTCCGAAGGCACCCAGTAAGTGTGGATTTGGACTGGAAAATGAGACCTATTGGGACCTTTGAAGATAGGATAGGGGTACTCCTAAGAAAGCAGTTTTCAACTAAGTAGAACCTATAAGGAAGTTAAAGCTGACTAAGGCTGAACAGCTGCTCTTCAGGTAGTGAACCTCCTTGTCCTGACGCCTGGAGGAGTTGAGTGACCAAGTTGCAATGGCCTTATCTAAACCACATGATCCACATGTTGAACAACTGTGGAAACAGGCCCCAAGTGGTTAGGTCACTTGCTTAAGGTCACACAGCTAAAAGGTGGGCCAGGCATATCTCCAAGAAGTAGAACACCTTGTCCCTCAAATCTCCTTATCACCCTCCTGCCTTGAGCAGTGCCTGTTCATTCCCTGAGGATCCAGTATTTAGTTTGGGGATCCCAGTAGTTCCTGAGAGATCTAGAGCAGCTGGCTTCAACGAGGGATGTTGGGAGGGGGTATTGGTACTGCTACAACCAAAGAATCTGGGTTTGGCTTAGATGGAGAAAGTGTTCCCCTTCCAAGACCTTGAGGGACTTACAGACTATTTGGAGATGATCCAAGGAATGTGATTGCGGAGGCTCACCAGAGCCATTTCCAACTCCCCTGGGAGACCTCTGGCTCCCAGAGGGAGAAAGAAGCTAGAGCAGTTGGGGCAGTCTGCCTTGCAGAAAGTGGGTGGGGGAAGATGAATGAGAATGTTGAGGCATGTTTTCCTGGCTTGTTCCAGAATGTCAGGAAGCTAGCCTTATAGAAGTCAGGTTCTTCCGGAGGGTGGGACTAGAAGGGAGAGTACTGAGGATGGTGCCCAGAAGAGTTGGGACTTCATTTGGCAAGGCCCTTGAGTCCAGAAGTGGTAAATTCTTTATGTGTTTGGAACCAGCCCTAGTTTGGCAACAAGAAGCCTAAGTTCCAAGGATGGCTTTCCATCAAAGCAGATGGCTTTGAGGAAGGGCCTTCCTCTCTGTGTGTCTCGGTTTCTCTCTCTTTACAATGAGGACAGGGCTGACTGACTCATCTATATAGGATTTGGTTTTTACCTTTCTTCCTCTTATGGACAGACACCCCTCTTAAACTGACCTAATTTAACCTTCTGCCCAGAGCTCTGGCCCAGAGAGGAAAGAGTCAAGGAAGGCCAGCATTGCAGTTTGTTACCCTGTGAGCCCTACATCCCCTCACTGCTGGCTCTTCCTTCTATTTGCTGTGTGACCCTGGGCAAGTTTCTATCCTTCTCTTGTTCTCAACTTCCTCCTCAATGTCTTGGGCTAGGATTGCTGGTGTATATTCGGCTGTTTTAGTTTCTGACCTTAGATACCTGCATCTGAACAGGGAGTCACATTCCTCAGGAGCCCTTACCTACTTTCCAGAGCAGGAGGACAGGTCCCTGGGCACTGGGAAGCCTCCAGAAGCTGACCAGGCAGCTCTCTCCAGCAAATAGCAAGCCCAGGCTAGTACCAGACCTGATTCTGCAAAGCCTTTCACCCTCAGAGCACGTGAGGCAGCAGGCGGGGACAAACAAGGGGTCGAGGTTCTGTTGGCTTCCATGGAGTCGTTGTGGACTGTGGTGCAGGCACACAGAGCACACAGACTGAGAAGGGACTGAAGGTGCAGAGGGGCCCTGGGCTGGTGGGTAAAGCAATGAGAGCTAATGGGAGGCTCTGAATCCTGGAGGCTCAAGAGCCTGGGGAAGGAGATGGGGCATTCTGTCCTCAAGGAGGTTTTAGGATTGGTTCCTGAAACAAGAGAGACTATAAGCCAGCTCCTATAGTCCTAGGCCCATCAAACCACATAGGGATGAGGAGGTCTCCCAATTGTAGCACAGGTTTGTTTGGTTCATTGTCTTTTCTCTGAAATTGAGGGTGAATATTGTTATGGGATTCTTAGTCTTCTTCATCCAAGGCAGGAGCTGTCCAAATTTAGTGGCTGCCTCCCTCTCAGACCCCTCAGCCTTTAGCTTAGTCTGAGGACTGAGCATAAGGGCTGACTTTACCACTGAGTCCCAGCCTTGCTGCCTTAGGCCCTGACAGTATGCCACTCCATCCCCAGGTCTGACAAGATGTACCAGGTCCCACTGCCACTGGACCGGGATGGGACCCTGTTCCGGCTCCGCCTCACCATGGTGGCCCTGGTCACAGTCTGCTGTCCACTTGTCGCCTTCCTCTTCTGCATCCTCTGGTCCATGTTCTTCCACTTCAAGGAGACTACGGCTACACATTGTGGGGTAGGGCTTGGAGTGGGCACTGACACCTCATATTCAGGCCCAATTGAATCTATTTTGGATCCTTATTCTATTGTAAAAGGATTAGCAAGCTCTCCAGTGGGGTCCATCAAACATAATGGGCTGCGGGGGGTGGGGGGATGCCTGAAAATTGAGGTCACGAGGATTAGTCTCTTGCCACCTTCCATGGAGGTTGCTGGGGGCTTGGGCGGGGGTGGTCACTGAAGTTGGGCAGCCCCAGAATTCAATCCTTCATAGAGGGGCATTTCAGGAAATCCAGGGTTTCTGGAGGATGGAGAGAGAACAGGACTGGGCTAGATGGCATTTAGGGCCTCTAAGTGTGGTTCTGTGGACAGTGCCTTTCTCTATGGGAATGTGATTATATATGTGTGTGTGTGTGTAACTGTAAGAGACATGACTGTAGTGACTTCGAGTGGGACATATGTGTCAGAGAAACAGTATTTGTGCCTGTTTGGATGGAGACCTGATTTTGTGTGTATATATGTTTTCTGGGGTAGGTCTCGTGCCCTCTGAGGTTCCATAGGTGGTCATGCACCCTCTGGATAGTGATATGCGGTGCTAGGCCAGGAAGAAAGATGTGAGAATTCTTTCTCTGTAGGATATTGGAGTAAAGGGGGAGAAATCTATGTTGACCTCTGTTATACTCCTAGTTTATCCACTATCTGTATATTACCTGAGACATGGACACTGAGCCTCAGTTTCCCCATGTCTAAAATGGGGTTCATAATTCCTGTCCTCCTCCTCCTCAGGGCTAATGTAGAGCTTCTGGTAGTGGAAGGGTAGGAAAGTGGTCTAGAAAATGTGAAGGGTGAGGAGCAGAAGAAAGCAGAAGAGAAGTAGATTGTCAGGTTGGAAGGCAGAGCAGGAGAGGAATTTAGCCTAAGGGCTCCAGGTAGAAAAGAGGCAGGGTCTAGACATGGATCTTAGATTAACCTCAGAGAGAGCTCTGAAGGACCCCAGTCAGGTGAGCTTCCCCCATTCCTATAAAGAGATCTACTCCAGAAAAAGGGCTGTGACTGGTAGTGGAGTCTGGTGGGGGATGGAGGTGTAGAGCACTTCTTTTGTTCATACAACTTGAAGTTTTCCCTCTTGATTTGTCATTGGGTAATCATGTGCCTTGGTATGTGGGCAGCCAATCTGATGAGACCCAGTGTTGGGAACTATTAGAAAGAACAGGACTGGAAGAAAGGGGTTGACCAGGTGATCTATGGGGAAGATTAGAAAGGGTCCATCTAAGAGCCTTTCCTGACCTAGTTCTTACCTTAGATAATATACCAAATGTTTCTGTTATCTTGGCCAACTCCTCTTCATCCTGCAAAACTCTGCTCAGGTGTCCCCTCCTCCAAAAAAGCCCTCCCAGCCTCTTTGGGGAAAACTTAATCATTCCCTTCTTTGGGTGCCCACAGTTATCTCTGTGTTATCTTTCATACAATTCTATGACATTATATTTGTGTCTGTCTTCCCCACCAGACTGAGTGCTCCTTAAAGGCGAGCACTGCATTTGAATCAATATTTGCTGAATAAGTGGATAGGATCCTCCCCCGCCACCCCACCCCAGCCCAGTACTCTGAGAAAAGGAAGGCATAGTATAATGCAGTCATAGTCCATACAGAAAATTATATTTGTACAGCATATGGAGTTAAACGGAGTAGGCTATTTGCTCTGCCCCTCATGGCTGGCTCTGAAGGCTAATGGGATCAATGATCTCAGCATACCTGCATACCTATGACCCATTCTTGGCATACTGGTTATGGAGCTAAGCATAGGTAGTTGCAGGAGGGCCATGACTAGGCCTAGTGACCTGCAGGTATTATGTACTCACTCTCTGGGACTACCATGTTAGAGCCATCTGGAGATTTTCACGTATGCTCTCAATTTCTCACCCAGAGTTTCCCAGGAATAGCCAACCCTAAGAATAAAAGAAGTAACCTTAGTTTAACACATCTATAATTAGACGACTTTGCCTCTGCTTGCACATCCCCAGTGATGGGGAGTTTTCTTCCTCTCTAGGTGGCCTATTTCAAGGAGACTTAGTAGCTAACAATTAGCAAGCTCTTTCTTATAGTGAACATACACTCTCTTCCTGGTGAATCTCTGCCTTGGGAGCCTTAGGACTACCCTTTCCTTCAGGCTTCTAGCCACCCCTGCAGACATGGGAAGGCAGTAATGAGAGTTCCTGAGTCTACTCTTCTTAGGTAGCACAGCTCCAGTTCTTCAGGCAACTCTCACAGCACATGTGCCCCTGAACTTGGCCGAGGTGGTCACTGTTCTGTTCATGTTAGGCCCTGATTTGGGCATAAGACTTCATATGGCCTGGGCAGTACAGGCAAAAGCAGGACTGTTCCATTCCTATTATTGGCTGTTAGGCCTCTGTTATTGCAGTCTGAGCTGCTAGTAGCTGTTCCTGCACAGGTGCAGGCTGGACACTGAAAGCTCATATTCAGGCCTGTCTAAATCTCTTTTGGATCATGAATCTATTGTCCTAAGATTAGCTAGCTCTCCAATGGGGCCCAAGAAACATACTGAGTCCTACTCTAACAAAAAAGAGCCAAATCCTATTCTGCTTTCTCTCTTTCCCCTCCCCAGAAACATCCCTGTACACATCTCCCAGAGAGGTCCCATTCCCCATCCCTGGCAAGGAAGCTGCTATGGGCTGACCTTAGCCGCAATCACTTCTTACCTTTGCAAAGTGTTCCAGAATTTATGACATGGACTTGTCAGTCCTAGGAAGCTGTGTGCCTGGGCAGGCGTGGAGATCTGGGCTCTGTGGGCGGGAGGGCAGGCCCTGGGAAGCTGGGGGTGGGACCCTCTAGTCTTAGAATAGTCTCAGTCTGGCTAGAGCCCTCAACCCAAGCCCCGGATCCTTCAGCACCCAGTGTAAGTGTTGCTCAGTACGCCCCTTCTCCCCTGTCCCATTCCCTGATGCTGAGCTGGACTAGTGGAATAGGGTTCCCTTAATGGAGGGAGGTATAAGTCCCAAGGGGAGATTTGGGCCTAGGTTTTTTTTATACAAGGCTGTCTCTGTTTGACCCCCAGAAGGTAGCCCAGTTTGAGGAGTCGTGGTAGTCGGGGCAGTAGGGGGTAGGAGGAGGAAGTTCTTTGTCTAGAGGGAGAAGGGCAGAAGAAGCATAGCTTCCCTGGGTCTGGGTCTGTCTGTCTTTGGTCTAGCCCAGCACAGCAGGCTCAAACTGAGTGGAGAAGGTTCCCATGACCCTCAGATTGCCGTAAACCTTGGATTGAGTGACATGGTCTTCTCAGAGAGGAAGGAGATGGAGGTCTGGGTCTCTGGAGGGACCATGATATATCTTGGGATCAGGGTACTGCTGGCCTGAGGCTTGGATCATTCTGAGCCTGGGGGTGGGATGGCTGGCAGCCTGTGGTCCCATTGAAATAGGTTCTGGGGCACGCCCACTG